AGCTATCATGACATCAGTTTCAACCATGTTGGCTTTAAAAAGTTTCTTAGAAGGTCAAATGGGGCTAATATTATCGTTTGGCTCTCTGCGTTGGAAAGTACTTTTTCGGGACATTGAAACCCGGCAAACAACTAGACGCACGAATTTTTAGAGGGGTCGAAATTTCGGAGTTTTTAAGTATATGCATGTAAAAAGTGGGTTTCATTGCATAAAAATCAGGGTTGGTACTGTGTGGTTTGGTTTGTGCTTTTATGAGAAAACTTGCATTTATTTCAAAGTGCATGGCGAATTTACGCAGTATGGTTTGCACTTTTTCTATTTAGTTATTTACAGAACCCTTATGTTGCAATACTGAAGTAATCCATATTTCTTTGAGTAGTAGCTTTCGAAATGCCAAAAATGTGACCGTCAAGGCATGAAACCTGGTCTTTGGACCTCATTTTACTTAATCATGTCCATTGAGACTATTCGTGATATGGGTGTGAACGTCGTGAGCTGTTGGCGACTGTGAAAGATGTTCAAACACTTTCTCCATACTCAGTTTACCTTTAGAAAATTGCGAATTACCAGTTTTTAGGGAAAAATCACCATTTTTCGCTGAAATCAGTGCTACATATTGCATTTTAACATCACGGTATTAAATTCACTTCTGCATTGTGTTAAAAAATTTGACCTTGACAATAATTGGAAAATTTTTGTCAGTCCGACACAGCATTTTTTGATTAATGGAAGATGTTGACATGTTACACGTAGGTCAAAGGTCGTTGTTTCAGGTAAAATTGTGGCGGAAATTGCTTTGTGTACGATTGAAAACATCCCACAACAAAGATTATGATAAAGATCTTGCCTTCGTCTGTTTCCCCACAGACCCTATCCATTTTTACATCATAAATTCAGACGGAATGTAAATTGTATTGCAATAAAATAAAATGTAAAATAATTTTTCGTGGGTGGTAAGATGTTTACCATGTTAAACCCCAAAAAATCATTTTTTCTGATGTGGTCTTAGAGTCATAAGCCCACCCCTTACTTTTCCTGATTTTACATGTTCATATACGATGTACTCAATGTCAACTCGTCTTGGAATCGTATCAAAAAAGAGATGACTCAAGATGAGTTGACATTGAGTTTTGTTTCCCAAACTGAATTTATTGTTACTTAAAATGTATTTAGATCATGAATGAATAACCAGCGTTTTCAGAGTTTGATTTTTATGTGTAGAAATATCAGTTTTGAACCCATTGTATGTACTCATTACAAACTGCATTAATCCTTTGTGACTTTGAACTTGCTACATTATGATAATAATAACATTTTCTTATATCATGTTCACTGCATTATCACGCATCGCTTTACAATACATGAAAATAAATCACATTAAAAAAGGAATTAACTGTTCTATAACAAAAAAATAAGTTTTAAACATACTTTAAAAAATAGCTTTACCATTAAAATCAGAAATTAAATGAAGAACTGTCTTTTAAACAAATGAGTTTTCAAACTTCTCTTAAAAACATTGATATTGATTGACTGACAAGTAGAGAGTGGAATTGTGTTCACAAAAGGGGCGTAATTGCTTATAAAAAAGAATGCCAACCATGTTTTTTGGTACATTTTGAATCTTGTCTTTTCAATAACAAAAGATCAGTGTTAGATGACCTGAGGCACTAGTTTTAGTTAGTAATAGGATTACGGTAATTACTTTGTACCAAACAAATAAATGCTACATGGTTTTTAACAAAAGGAAAGAGTTCCCTTTGTACCCCCATCCTTAACCCTAACATTAACACTCACTCCCAGTTACCCAATTCATTTAACTATAGCTAACTATAGATGTCCTTAGGAGGGGCATGTACAATTAAATGGGGAGTGCTGGAGGGTAGGGGTAGGGTTAGGGATGGGGGGTACAAAAGGAACTCTTTCCAAAATAAAATATACAACTGGGACTGTACATTGTTTTTTTTGTGTAAATCAAAATTAAATTAATTGCATTTGTTTACAGTTGTTAAATGTGACGACATCCAGTGTAAAAGATCTGGATGGGGTTCATGGGAAACTAGATAGGAAGAAATCTGTTGAAAACCATAATCTTGGTGCACAAGAAAAATTCCAAAAACTGGGAAAGAATAATCTGTCTGCGATGAAAGCAAATGTACATCGCCACAGTAGTGGACAGATGGAATGGTTGGACCAAATGCAAGACAGCTGTGGTAAGATAGTTTTTGCTTTCATTAGGAGTGCATGAACTTGCGTAAATGACTGGTGTGCTCAAAATAAGTAGTACCGTAAATCTGTATTAGAAGCCGCATCTCTAATAGAATTTGAATAATTGAGAACCAAAAAGCCGCGATTTCTAATACAAATTTTACAGTACTGTAAAATACTTTATTTTCGCTTGGAACTAATTTTCGCTGAAGGGCTGATTCAATGAAAATAAAATCCAGTGAATATACTATTTTTCCTATATTTTACATTCAACTTGTCAAAAATCAGTGAAAATAAATTCCATACTAAACACCAAAAAAGTCTTTTCAGCAAAAATTAATTCCAGCTAAAATAAAGTATTTTACAGTATTCAACAAACATACAATGAATGCAATTTTTGTTGTATGTGTATTTTTTATTGAAGTTTCTATTTATATTAACACATCATCCCCTGATAAATGTAGTAAAAATAGTTTAACATAGCGAGATAGTTTTGGGGGGACTTTTCAACGTTTTTTTTTTTGGCATTAACATTATGTAGTGTCATATTTATTTT